TCAGATGAGTTCTTCTCATTATGAACTTTCTCTGGAAAAGATGATCCATCAATTTGATGAATCCAAATCTTTGCTAAAATTTTTGAAATTCCTGTTAACAATTCGACAAGAATAAAAATGAATGAAAATGCATCTATTTTTGTAAAACACCTAAAATATGATGCATGAATGTTAAGTTATTTGATTTCAGATTGGTGAACTGAGTATTTCTTCAGTTGTAGAAACCCAATAAATCTTTCTTCTTCAAATCATAGAATCTATCCTCTTTGACAAATGTAGAGGTAGATATAATGTCACAAAAATTTCTTGAGAATAAAACTCAATTGTATAGGCTCTTGAAAAGCTTGCATTCAGGCAACATGTTGATTCTGATAACAGCTCATCTGATTATGAAGTGGCCTTTTAAGATGATTTCACAGATATCGATAATTCTTTTAATACCAAGAAATCTTGAATTCTGATTCTGATGAAGAAAATAAACTGTTATACTTGACAAAAATGGGATTCTCAAGTGCTGAAACTTCAATATCCATGTAGAAATGTGGTCCTGATTCATCAATTATAAAATTGATAAATTTTATATGTGCTGCTCAAATGACTAAGGCTGCTGATGCACTTCTTCGGATCAAATAACTCAAAGAACACTTTCAGAAGATGCTATTGGCAAATTCATCTTCCAAATTAAATGCTTGATTCTGTCCAATCAGATCAGATAACTCAAAGAACACTTCCAGAAGATGCTATGTTCTTCTAAACAGATCAGATAACTCAAAGAACACTTCCAGAAGATGCTATGTTCTGTCCAACCAGATCAGATAACTCAAAGAACACTTCCAGAAGATGCTATGTTCTTCTAACCAGATCAGATAACTCAAAGAACACTTCCAGAAGATGCTATGTTCTTCTAAACAGATCAGATAACTCAAAGAACACTTCCAGAAGATGCTATGTTCTGTCCAACCAGATCAGATAACTCAAAGAACACTTCCAGAAGATGCTATGTTCTTCTAACCAGATCAGATAACTCAAAGAACACTTCCAGAAGATGCTATGTTCTGTCCAACCAGATCAGATAACTCAAAGAACACTTCCAGAAGATGCTATGTTCTTCTAACCAGATCAGATAACTCAAAGAACACTTCCAGAAGATGCTATGTTCTTCTAAACAGATCAGATAACTCAAAGAACACTTCCAGAAGATGCTATGTTCTTCTAACCAGATCAGATAACTCAAAGAACACTTCCAGAAGATGCTATGTTCTTCTAAACAGATCAGATAACTCAAAGAACACTTCCAGAAGATGCTATGTTCTGTCCAACCAGATCAGATAACTCAAAGAACACTTCCAGAAGATGCTATGTTCTGTCCAACCAGATCAGATAACTCAAAGAACACTTCCAGAAGATGCTATGTTCTTCTAACCAGATCAGATAACTCAAAGAACACTTCCAGAAGATGCTATGTTCTTCTAAACAGATCAGATAACTCAAAGAACACTTCCAGAAGATGCTATGTTCTTCTAACCAGATCAGATAACTCAAAGAACACTTCCAGAAGATGTTATTGAGCACATATAAAAGGTTGAATTGTTTATAAACATGTTCAGGAAGTGCCGAATTGACAGAAAGGATCTGTAAGGCTTTTGAAGCCTATGACAATGAGCCACCTTCGAGTGTCCAGAAGTATGTTCTTGATGAGTGCTGAAAATGGAATCTAGTATGGGTTGGAAGGAATAAAGTTATTCCACTTGAACCTGATGAGGTGGAAATGCTTCTAGGTTTCCTAAAAACCTTACACAAGGATTTGTATAGAAACATGTTTCCTAGTGATATCAATGTATTGTTTCTTTTTGCTGGAATCAGTACTGCAAAGATCATCTTCTACTGTTTCAGTACATCTTTGAAAACAGATGTGCAAGAAATGAATGGTGATCGGTTGAAGCAATTGATGAGTAGATTTGGCGGATTCGACCTTGTTGTCGGTAGCACCATTTGTAACAATCTTGATGTTCATGGCTTTAAGCTAGTGATGATTTGCCTATTTTGGATTCCATGTATTCAAAAATATTAACATAAAGTGATATTCAGAAATCTTTAAATTATTTCAAAATTATGTCAATTCAATAAAAAAAGAATAAATTGAATTTCCAAAAATAAATTGAATCTCAAATAAATTGAACTTGAAATAGATAGAATTGTATTCAAAGTTATGGTAAACATAAAAATGATAAAAATTCAAATGTCTCAACAAATTACAAGCATAAGTATTTCTAAATTAATCAAGTTGACACAACTTAGAGTAATGATGTAAGCCTTTGTCTGGAAGATCTCAAACGTTGTCAAAATGCTTGTAGATGTGAAGCTTCTTCCAAACTATTAAAATCTTAAGAGAGTTAAATTGCCAGATGCCTAATATCAACCTGTATTTGAGCCGCCTTTTCAGGTTTTCAACTCAAATCCTTCCTTTGGTTACAAGATGCCCTTTGCGGGTTTTCACCTTGACCCTCCTTTTTTCTTTTTTCTTTTTTTTCTTTTACTTTTTTTTTTCTTTCTTTCTTTCTTTTCTTTCTTTTTCTTTCTTTTCTTCAAGCATAATATTTCTTGATAGAATCTGAGTTTATTGGATTTTTCAGAATTTTTCCATCCATTTCTGCCAAGATCAATGCTCCTCCGGAAAAGGCCTTTTTTACAACGTATGGCCCTTCCCAATTAGGCATCCATTTCCCACGGAAATCTTTATGTATAGGCAAGATCTTTTTTAGTACTAGATCACCCTCTTGGAATTCTCTTGGATGTACTTTCTTATCATGAGACTTCATCATCCGTTTTTGATACATCTGTCCATGGCAAATAGCTTTCAATCTTTTCTCCTCAATAAGGTTCAATTGATCAACTCTAGCTTGGATCCATTCAGATTCATCCAATTTTGTTTCTCTCAATATTCGAAGCGATGGAATCTCAACTTCAATTGGTAAGACTGCTTCCATCCCGTAGACTAAAGAAAACGGTGTTGCCCCAGTAGATGTTCGAACAGTAGTTCGGTATGCATATAGAGCAAAAGGTAACTTCTCGTGCCAATCTTTGTAAGTTTCAGTAGTCTTTGTAATGATTCTCTTGATGTTCTTATTTGCTGCTTCAACTGCCCCATTCATCTTTGGACGATATGCCACTGAATTTGCATGTTTGATCTTGAACTGTGCACAAAGTTCGGTCATCATTTTGTTGTTCAGGTTCAGAGCATTATCTGTAATGATCCTTTCTGGTAGGCCATACCGGCAAACTATCTCTTTCTTTATGAACTTGCAGACTGTGGATCTCTTAATATTGGTATATGAAGCAGCTTCAACCCATTTGGTAAAATAATCAATTGCCACAAGGATGAAACAATGTCCATTTGATGCTTTTGGTGTGATTGCCCCAATGACATCTATTCCCCACATAGAAAATGGCCAAGGTGCTGTCATTACATGTAGAGGAGATGGGGGTACATGAATCTTGTCTGCATATATCTGGCATTTATGACATTTCCTAGCATAATCAATGCAATCTGTGTACATAGTAGCCCAATAGTATCCATATCTCATTATTTTTCTGGCCATAGAAAGACCATTTGCATGTGTTCCACATATTCCACTGTGTACTTCTTCAATGACATTTCGAGCTTCACTGGTATTTAAACATCTCAACAGCATTTGATCACTGCTTCTTCTATACATAATCTCTCCATCAAGAAAATATCCAGCAGCCATTCTTCTCAAGGTTCTTTTATCAATTTCTGATGCATTTGGTGGATAACTTTGATTTTTGATATATTGCAGGATATCATGATACCATGGTTTACCATCTACCTCTTCTTCCACACTATAACAATGTGCAGGAATTTCATACACTTGCATTTTGATTGGCATCATATCAACCTTCTGAGTTGCCTGAAACATAGCAGCTAATGTAGCCAAAGCATCTGCCATTTGATTTTCTTCTCGAGGGAGATAATTGAATGTAACTTTCTCAAATTCTTTCACTAATTCGAGGGTAAAATTTCGGTATTCCAATAATTTGGGATCTTTTGTTTCCCATTCTCCTCGCAATTGATACACCACTAATGATGAATCTCCATATATCTTGAGAAATTTGATTTTTCTTTCTATAGCTGCTTTCAACCCCATGACACAAGCTTCATATTCCGCCATATTATTGGTACAAAAGAACTCCAGTCTACTTGTAAATGGATAATAAACATTTTCTGGAGAAATTAACACTGCCCCAATTCCTCGTCCCAAAGCATTAGATGCTCCGTCAAAGTAAAGCTTCCAACATGCAAATTCATCATTTGTTTTGACTTCTTCATTCATGGATACGCATAACAAATCTTCATCAGGAAAATTGAAGTTCAAAGGCTGATAATCATTTGATACACGACTGGCCAGGAAATCAGCTATGACACTTCCTTTTATCGCTTTTTGGTTGACATATACAATATCAAACTCAGATAATAACATCTGCCATCTAGCCATTCTGCCTGTCAAAGCTGGTGATTCCATTAAGAACTTTAAAGGATCAAGTTTTGATATCAACCAAGTAGTATGGTATAACATATATTGTCTGAGTCTTCGAGTAGTCCACACCAAAGCACAACATAATTTTTGTATTGGTGGATATCGAACTTCACAATCAGTAAATTTCTTGCTCAGATAATAAATAGCTTTTTCTTTTCTTCCTGATTCATCATGCTGTCCTTTTCTTCGATATTAAAAATAAATATTTAAAAGTTAATATTTATTATATATATATTTATGAATATATATCAAAATATTTAACAATATAATAAAAGAATAATTCTATTAAAACAATATATTTAAAAACAATATATACCGTGTGCGTATATGTATTCAAGATAGATACACCAAATAAAATGAAGCGTCGGAACAACATATGTTCCGTCTACAAAACAGATTTAACTCGTAGTTCTTCTGATTGTTAATGAACCTCCTTACACGCAGATCCGAATCCTGACAGTCCTCTCAACACCTATGCCGCGGCTCTTTGGAACAGTAAGGAAGGTAAAGAAAATAGGTTCTCTTTCATTTCAACTCGGTTATATTGGTGTTAGGTCTTCTCTTTGGACCTGTTCGGTTGCACACTTGTAGCCAAAAAACGACTTTCGCAATGCTATGAAACTTAACTGTATTGCTAATTTTTTACTTCTCCAGATTGCAGAAAAATGGTCCAAGCACGGCATTTTGACTGAAATGCAGGGGGCTAATACGCAGGATCTGTTCTTCAATTCCATATCGGACCGTTTTATGATCGAATTTTCCGATAAAGCTCCGAGGTAAGAGCAATGTGATTCTGAATTTAGTAGCAGTGACCTCAATCAATGTACGTACGGATAGTTACCGGATTTGATTTTGTACCTTGTTACGGAAGAAACACACAAAAACTTGAATACATTTCAGGAAAAAAATAATTCGATTTTAATAATGTTAAAACTATATATAATAATTCTAAATCCTTAAATTATAGGTTACTGAACATTAAAGTGAGTTTCTTCAAAATGTTATAGTTAATCGAATCTTGGATTAAGATTCAGTTAGTTCTCAACATGAACATTTTCAAGTAGCCTTTTCATTTATGTTTAACTTAGGCTCTGTTTTACTATTAAAATCTTAATATTTATATTTTTAATTACTTTTTAATATGACAATATATATCCAAATAAACTAAAGAGTAATATTTAAACATATATTGGTGTCGAGTTTTATAAAAGAGTCGCAGTGGGGTTGAGGAGACAGAAAACCAGAATCAAATGGACATACAAATACAAGCTGTTGTGTTTCCAAGCTTCTTGCTTGGAATCTCTCCTTGCCAATCTTATTATTAATTAAAATATTTTTTTATTAATTAGTGATCAGTTGATTTATTAAAACGAGACAATAAACCTCTTAAGTAAGATTAGGAGTTTGAATCTTAATGTTTACGAATTGAACAAATTTAGTTGACAGAATTACCCGAGTATTAGATTTTTGTAATACTCAATCTAAATTAATGATTAATAGATTAAATATCAATAATTATTAAAAAAAACTTTCTTTATACTAATAGATTGAAATCTTGACAACAACTAAAAATTAGATTTTGGAACATGTCGTTGTCAAATTCTTACTCCAAACTGTCCCCAGGAGGAACATTGTTAGATTCATCTAACACTATGAATTTTGGAGTTCAGTGCAGATTATATTCCCTTTTCTATTCTAATAAAATTACATTTATTTTAATAATATTTATATCTATTTATAAAATATAAAAAAATTTACTTTTCATAAATTAAATTTTCAATCTCTTAATTTTAAATTACACACACACATATATATATATATATATATATATATATATATATATATATAACCCATCTTGAAGGTACGTGTGTGTTATCGATGATTAAATAATTTTTTAAATAAATATTACTTTATAATTATATCGATTATTAAAAAAATTATTATATAATCTAATATAAATACAAAAGTAATTAATAGGATCTGTATTCAAAAACCCCGGCCAAATTTCAGGTCTAGAGAGATCTGAATCTTAATTTGCAGATTAAATATTGGATTTACCTATTAAGGGCATCTCCAACGCTGCGCTACAGTATTGCTACAATATCGCATCACATCTAGCGCGATACTGTAGCTCGTGCTAGATTTAGGTTTTTTAAAATTAAATTATATTAAATTATAATATAGATAAAAATATATTAAAATTAGATAAATAATTATACTATTTTTTTGTTGTAATTTTTCGAAATTTTTGTATTTTTTTAGATTTTTTTATATTTTTAAAATTAATATTATAATAAATAAATATTATAAATAAAATAAAATTAATGATAATGTAAAAATAACACTACAAATAAATTATTATTTTATTTTTAAAATATAAATAGAGATACGCTATAGTAGAGATGAGGCGTAGACATGGCCTATGTCAAACACTAATCTGAATGTCCATTATTATTATTCTTAGAAAAAAACCAGTGCATAAATATGGCCGAAACAATGCTTACTCCTCACAATTACAATTTCAACTCCGCCATTAAACACCTCACTTTCCCCAAAACCTCTCTTCCAAAAAAACCCAGAAATCAAATACAGATGGCTACTTACTGGCACCCGTTTTTTCCTTCTTCATCGTTGTTTCTACCTTGCTATTTGTTACAGCTTCTGGCTATGGATCACCTGCCCCGATCACTGCTGTTTTCGGAGAAAATGGGGTTTTTTGCGCCATTGATGCTGGCGGGGAACAAGAGATCATTTGTTGGGATAAAACCAATAAAACATCTTCGGTGCCCTCTTTTGGTTACGTACTTTCCATGGCGGTTCTCTCCGGCGGTGAAGGCTTTCTCTGCGGCATTACTGCTAACAACTCGCAGGCGTTTTGTTGGGATTCCTTGGATTTTGGTACATACCTTGTTCCTAAAGCTTTTAGATATAATTCTTACTCACAGATAGCAGCTGGGAGAACTCATGTTTGTGCTATCAAAGGGCCTTATTTTTCAAGTAACGGTGATTCCCTTTTTGTGGATTGCTGGGAATTTCATCAAATACTTGGTGAAAGTAATTTGACTATGAGTTTTGTTGGTGATCATTATGCCAACAATGTTTCCGTTAAAAGCATTGTTTCTGGGGATGGTTTTAGTTGTGGGGTTGCTAAGGAAAGTGGTTTGATCTTTTGTTGGGGGTCCAAAATCCAGCAACTTGGGGATTTCCAACGCGTCTAGTGAGTTTGAAATTTTAGCTTCTGGGAGAAGTTCAATTTGTGGGATTTCTAAGATGACAGGTGAAGTGGAATGTTGGGGGGATTGGAGTGAGTTTGATATCCAACCACGTGGGACTCGGTTCGTTAGTTTATCGGCTGGCGGACAGCATTTTTGCGGCATTCGTGAAGATGATCATGCAGTGGAATGCTGGGGAAGAAGCATTAATGTTTCTTCAGTTCCAAAGGCTTCTGGTTTTTTAGCTATTGCTTCATCTGATTCCAAAACTTGTGGGGTTCGAGAAGTTGACTTGATTCTTGATTGTTGGGGCACAAACAAGCAGTCTTCGCCGGATTATAGTCCGCCTTTGCAGCTATGTAGCCCTGGTGTGTGCTCGCCAAGATCATGTGCCAATGGAAATTTTGCTTTCAATGCAAGTATCCTTAATGAGCCGGAGTTGACAACCATATGTGCTCGGAATGAGTTGAAGATATGCTTGCCTTGTGGGACAAATTGTTCCGAGGGCTACTTCCCTTCGAGTGCTTGCAGCGCCAATGCAGATCGAATATGTGCTCCTTGCTCACTTTGCCAGAACAGCTCTTGCTGGGATGTATTTGGAGTTTCGTCCGAGCCTCGGAAACAAAAGCAGCTAGAGATAAAAAAGTTGGTGGTCATCATTGGCTCTTCTGTGCTGGGCTGCTTATTAGTTGTAGTTGCTTCTTGTATTTTTCCCCGAATCTTCAAAGTGAAAAGCGAAGGCAAACGCAGAATTCAGTGCTGCTTTTGCCAGTTCCGCCTCTATCTTTAACGACGTATGTTGGGGAGCCACAAGTTTATAGGCTTTCAGAACTGAAAGTTGCTACTCATGGATTTAAAGAATTCAGCGAGCTCGGAAGAGGGAGCTTCGGTTTTGTGTATAAAGCTGTTCTTCCTGATGGTCGGCAAGTTGCAATCAAGCGAGCTAATGCTGCTACGATAATTCACACCAACAGCCGGGATTTTGAAACAGAGTTAGAAATACTATGCAATGTAAAGCATACCAGTATTGTGATCTTAATAGGATACTGTGCTGAAATGGGGGGAAGACTACTCATGTATGAATATATTGCCTCATGGCACACTTCATGACCATCTTCATGGGGACCTCTCGCGGTTAGGTTGGGACCTACGATTGAAGATAGCATTCCAGGCTGCGAGAGGACTCGAGTATCTTCATAATGAAGTCACTCCCCCATCGTTCATCGAGACCTGAAGACTTCAAATATACTTTTGGATGCCGAATGGGGTGCAAGGATAGCCGATTTTCGGATTTTAAGTGCTAATACAAGCACGGATGTGAGTGGAGATATGGGGGAGGATGTTTATAACTTCGGAATCGTTCTATTGGAGATATTAAGTGGAAGGAAAGCTTATGATAGAGACTGCACGCCTCCAGGAATTTTAGAGTGGACACTGCCTCTGATAAGGAAAGGAAAGGCGGCAGCCATTATCGACCGGAACATTGCTCTACGCAGAAATGTGGAACCGTTGCTTAAACTCGCGGATTTGGCCGAGCTTTCGTTGAGGGAAAATCCCACTGAAAGACCAAGCGTGAGTGATCTGGTAACTTCATTAGATCAAATTGTCAAGTGTGAACTGATCTTGTCATGAAAATTCATCAAGAATTCATGACTATATTATGATTGTTTGTATTATTCAATGATTCTAACATTCTTTTTCCTTTTGTTTTTGCTCTCTCTCCTACCAATTGGCGGAAAGAGATTGTAACTACCGCATATTCCTTTTCCATTTGTTGAGAGTAAAAAAAAAAAATTCAATAATTTCTACTATCCAATAATAAAACTATATTACGCATTTTATATTAAACATTTCTTGTTTCTATTTTTTTATAATTTACTACAATATTTTTTATTAGTTTAATTTAGTTCCTAAAAAAATATTTGATCCGAAATTGACATTTATTTATTTTTAGTTTTTATATAGTTCGACATTTTTAATATTATAATATTTTTATTTAATTTAGTCTTTAAAATTATATTTAGTCTAAAATTAAACTCTATTTGTTTCTATTTTTTTTAACTTGGTCAAATATTTTTGATATTATAATATTTTTATTCAATTTAATCCCAAGAAACTATTTAGTATAAAATAACCCCTATTTATTTCTAATTTTCATAATTTGGGTGCGATTCACTTCTTCCATGCTGTGTTGACCTTGTATCAATTTGATGCAGTACTCAGCAACTTCATTTCCGATTATGTGCCAAAATCTTTGATAAAAAAAAAACCCTAATCCATCTTCACGGACTCATATCCTTTACCGCTTTTGTAACATTTTCGAAAGTGAAAGATCTTAGTAAATTCTCGTTTATTTCCCAGGGATGCACGGATGTGAATCCTCCATAATTTCCTCATCTGCTGTTTCGAATTCTGAAGTGAATAAATCCTGAAAATATTTCCTGGCGCAGTCTTGTATTTCTTCTGCGCACTATCAAACT